GATAAGGCAGAGTCCGAGGTCACTAAGGAGTTCGGAGCCGGCTGTAGAACAAACAAAGGAAAAAGTCGAATAATGGCTTTACCATTAGATTTACCTGTAGTACGTTCTCATACTACTTTTTCAGGAAATTCCAGTGATAATGTTAATGTTGTTTTAGGGTGACAATGAAGTCGACTTCGTAGAGAGAAAGTTTTTACCATTTCCTGAGTCGAATCAAATTCTCATTATTCGCAAGCACTCTTTGCCGTCTAACGGTCAGTTTTCTTGTCGGCGTTGATCTGACCGGAGTTATATTTTTCCAATTTTTCAGAGTTTACAGCTGAGTTGTCTGCTCCAATTTTCACATGTTTGATTAACGCTTATGGCCGGCTTCATTTCGTTGAAGAAAATAAAGTGGTCTGCTTGCCAAAGTTGCTTTCAGAAATGGTTTGCAGTTTCGCGAGCATTGTATTTTCACATGCAGTTTGTCTTTACTGTCTGTTCCAGTTGTTGAAACCTGGGCACTCCATTGAGCTGTCCTGTGCTGACGTATGCCTGCCAGATTCTGATGGGTGTCTAGCTATGCTCGCTACTTGGTTAGTACTTCCGGCGCTGTTCGGCTTAGGAGGGACATTTTGCTCTTTCGCTGCTTCATTCTGGGTGATTCATACTTAGAACGAAGCAGCAAAATCACAGGTCGCGCTTTGTTTGCTATAGCATAGCTGTGCAAGAATGTACCGGTCTGCTCAGGCAGTGATAGATGGGAACCAGCCGAATGCCTCTCCTAACCGACCTGCACTATTTTCTGAACACTCAGAAAGAAAGGTTTACTTGAAAAGTTTCAGCTGGGTTGAGCTCAATGAACACTTCTGTCCTTGCCGATTTTTCGGAGCCATGTTCAAAATATCACCGACTCTTCACATCGAATTGACTCACGAGGTAGATAGAAGATATCAATAGATATGGAAAAATTTACTGGCACTATTTGCCCTCTGCTATTCGAGTTTTCTCAAATCATTTCGTTTTTTTTTTCGTCGACTTTTTTCCCCCAGAAGCATCCCGAGCACGAATGTCGCATTCGCTTGGTTTGATGCTCCTGGCGCCCGTGTAACGGCGACGGCACGTCGGTCTTCGTTCTGACCCCGGCGGATGTAATGCGCACTCCTGGCCGTTTCGTGCCAGACGTATGTTAGGGCACTTGAGGAAACAATCACAACAAGTCACACGTTTTTGATTTCATGCGATAGTGATCCTTCAATTTGCGAAGGCTTGGCCTTAGCTGACAAGGGGGCATTATCTTGAGTTTCTCCAGCGGTAGCTCCACTGGTGCCCATGCAGTTGTGATATTCGCGTACAGTACGCCAGACTACCCCTGGAGTAAGCTTTCTGCGAATTTAGTGGTTTAGAGTATTACTGCGCCGGCACCTATGGCATGGACGCCGGGCTGTCTCAAGCCGAGCGGATGAGATATTCGTGATATTCGTGTTCAGCGGTCTGACTACATCTGAGAAGAAGCTTCCAGCCAAACGTGCATATGGAGAAAAAAGTCGGCAAGAAAGTTTTCTGATTTCGGAATGTTGGGGCATTAAAGGCTAGGCAGTGTTGATAATCCCAATAAATTTGTGTCACTTATAGAGTGGCACTGCCCTCGTTCAAATTTTTCCCTCCTCCTTTTGTTTTTGTATGCTCGATCTGCTTGTAGATAAAAGCCTCAGCTCCGATTGCTCACTGTTCTTTGATTACGAAAGTCATTAACGGAACAGAGCACAAGTATTGGATCAATTACGAATCTGCAAAACGACTGTCTGTTTATGAATTGAAGGTGAGATGATTTGTTCCTCGTTGAGGCCGCGTTCACAGTTTGCGACTGAGGAGATGCGGCGATTTGGGAGACCAGGGCTATTCAAAAGATTGTGCGACGAGTAAAGTATAGGTATTGATATAGCAGGTAGAGAGAGAGTTGGCGATCCGGCGTTTAGGGTGATTGCGTGCCAAGGATTGGATGGGTTAATATTTTATCGCTAGTCGTTAGCGCCGGTTGCAAAGTTTCAGCGATTCGCGCCGAATCGTCTAAATTCGGAAGCCGGTGGCGGCTGGCCGAATCTCCGACTCTCCCAAATCGCCAAATCCTATGAGTCCAAACTCTGGTCGAACTGCTATCCAACATGTTGATTGTCCCATCATCCAACTTACTACTCTTTCAGCAGGACTCCGATAAGGTGATTGCGTTGGAAGACCCTTTCGCTTTGTTTCCCTGAATTTGGCTCTGGATGATTTTCAGACAGGCCGCGCTGCATTCGAAATTCCTCTGACAAACTCAAGTGGAGTGCTCTTGGCTTCGACACAGGCCGCGTATTTCTTTCAGTTTTTGATGTGGATACGAAAAAAATCCAAAGGTATTGTTCTTTGGAGAAATGTTCTTATAGTCCCTCTCCTCCAACAGTTCGGTCGCGAGATTCCGGCTGGGAAGAGGCCATGTTTGCCTTTCACGGCTATTCGTCTCTGCCACGTTCATGTCAAGTACGACAGGTCCCATTCTCTTTTTGTGAGATCCCGTCACCTCTTGTAAAGTGTGAAAGGACAAACGAGGACTTCCCGTTTCGCAGCAGTTTTACATCGTTCTCTCCAAAGGCCTACGGAGGTTTCCAAAGGCCTATGGAGGATTCGATGGTTACCATTTGTTGCTTCACCAAGCCGAACTGCGCCGTTTTGTCTTCGCACTACTAAGCTACTAATTCTAGGAAACAGATCAAATTCTCTGGACCAATCTCCGTTCTTGAGTTTGTACCGTATCTACCTGTTCGTACCCCGAGGGTTAGTGACGGTGAAGGACCCGATCCAGCTCCTTATATTGAAGAACGTTTTCTCGTTGTATCTTCCACGCTAGGTCCTGTTGCGATATGGAGATGTCTTTTTGAGGTTAAGGCTTTTTATCACATCTCTGCCTTTCATTTTCTCTCGGTATTTCCTTTCTCTCAGCATTTCTTTCAGGACGATGAACTGAGCTGGAATAATGAGTTCGTCCTGTCGCAATCAGAACAATTCGATACAATAACCTCCGCTTGTATTATTAGCGGTAACATAGCAGTTGGAACGTACTGCGGGGTAAGTTCTTAATATGATTTTTAGGATTTGGGAATTGAGCTCATTATTGCATGTTTCAGAAAATCCTTTTCTACACGTCTCCTTACGATCTCCTTTGTCATGAAATTGCATCAATGACACAAGTTCATGCTCCGATTGTGAATATGAAGGTGAAGCTCATGATTAGTACAAAAATAACATATGATCGGTGCAGTTTGACATGGGGGGCATTTTGCACTTTCGCTACTTCCCATCGACGTGTCGACCTATCTAGGCAGCCTCTTCTCGAGTTGACAGGTTTTACCATGATGGCTAGATGAGCTTGCTCCAGCTTCACAAGAGTTCACAGGTTTCGCTAGGGAAGAATTGTAGTACAAATGTCGGCCCCCCCCCGTCGTCAACTCGCGCCCATCTGTCTCCTGTAGTAATCGGTCTTGTTTCGGCATGGCGAATGATAGGGCGTGTCAGTAGGCGAGATATGGCGCGCCAGCTCGCTCTCCACCGACCATTGTTGAAGCGTTCAAACGTCAACAGTTGGTGAACGCGTCAAACCCACCCCACCTAATATTCTCCTTTCGCCACAAATAAAAGTCTGCAAAAGAGGTTGAGAACATTTTTCCATATTTAACCCACGGAAGAAATAGTGATCAAAATGTCCCCGAATACAAATGAATGATACTTAGTTACTTTCAGGTTTTGGATCACAAAACGTTATGTGTTCTTTCAACTGCTGGTCTACACACTGTCACCCGTTCAGATATATAGGAGATGTCGAATTTTGTAATATTTATTTATGCGTTAAAATTTAGTAAATTGTCCTACCCATTATTTTGTACATATTTAATTTCACTCTAAACTCGTCAAGTCGAGATTCAGTATCTTCATTTAGTGTCCACGTTTAATAGTGTCCCATATCGCGTGCATGAAATATGCGATAGCCACTGCTCCTGCGTCCGGTCGGGTTTGAACCTGAAGTTGGCATGATCTATTCCAATTAAAAAAAAAACGATAATTGAAAAACATTTTCAAAAAATGTGTTCTAATAATTCATGGGAATACTTCTGTCTTGGTATCTCTCTCTCTATTTTTCAGAATAGTGCATAATGCGGTTAACTCCAGGGTTCTGTTTTTTGCACAGTAGGAAGTGCTGAGTTATAGCTTTCCAGTGCAATTCCCAGGTGAATGCCTTTCAATGCTCATCGATTAAGGGAAGCAGATGGTCAGTCGGCCCATCTGCCTTAGGTGAAGGTTTACTGAAACATCGGTAGAAGTTCTATCCGTTTAAGACCGAACTAGGTAGACAAGAATAGCTCTCGATTCGCGAAAGGTTCTGCTTGTTGTTTAGAATCTTGGAGCGTTTTCATACTTCGCGATCGGATCGATTGCATCGCGCCATCGGATCGCCGACCATTCAGATCGCGCATTCATGCACTGGTTGTGTGCGGCCTAACATGAATTCTGCCGTTGTCGCGATCCACGAATTAGCAGTAGAGCGCTCTCCCATGTCGTGAACGCGCGATCCAACGATCGGATTGTGAGTACGAACCCGCTCTCACAGCCCTGTTCGCTGAAGCGTGTTAGAACGGCAGGTTTTGGCACGGCTCCAGCCAGTTTTCCCCCAATTGTGGTCGTCTACCAGCTCCCATAGTCGGTGGAAAAAGGGCTGGCACCGCGCCAGACCCAGTCTCTTAACCTGCCCCAGCATCCGTGGCGAACAATTTTATACGCTAACTATACACTGGTACTAATCCAGTCATCTAGCCTGAGCGAAAGATCCGTTTTCCCTTCAAATACGGGATAGTAGCAAAAAAGAGGTTTGATGAGATCCGCAAATGTTTAGAGATATTTTGCTAGCAGCCGAAGTCTCCAGTTTTTATGGTGAATCGACTGCTTTAGTAGGTGGGAGGGTCCTTATTTATCAAACTTTCTCTCAAAACATTACCTCTTTCGCGGTGTAGCTGGCTCTTCCTGCTCGTGCTTTCATTTGTGCTGTAGACTGAGCTGCCTTGGTGCTTGCCTAGAAGTAATTTCGATGAATACTTACTGCGGTGGACTGTGTGGCAGGAGGAAGGGGGTATGGAGTGTTACTTGCGAGTCGCGGCATCGCGTGGCTAGCAGAGCGGTTTCCTAGCTAGGTACAGAGAGTTAGTGGATTTGAGAGACGCAGACTCAAATAAGGTCGGTGCGCCGCCACGATGAGTGGCTTGGGTCCCGGTGCGAAGGCCGCATACGTCAGACATCTCGCTTGCATCGCCCATTTCGCTGCACTCGCCACGTCTTGGAAGTAGCGCTACACACTCTTTAGCCTATACCTGCGACTGGGAAAGTACGGATATCGAGCGAACGCTGCCAGCGTACGGTCTGGACAACTTAAACTGAGTTCCTTTTGACGGCGTCGAGTTTGTGTTTTTCTCTGCTCTCTCTCGTCCGCGTAGCACTTCTAAAGTCATTGTGACTTCGCACAATCCAGCTTTTCATATATGATAAGTGAATCAACCACCCCAGACCCCTTCCCCTTGAAAAAAGCTCGTTCCCTGGCTTGCCATAGTTTCCTGCATGTCTTGATGCTTGGCAGGCGCTGTCCTCTGTCTGTCTGCGTTTCTTGGTTCCGCAACAGGAGCACAAAAGTTCAAGATGTCACGTAACCGATTCAGCAGTTTTCACGGACAGTTTTGCTCAAACTGCCTGCGAAACGCTGGCATCGCTAAATCGATATCCATACTTTCCCAGTCGCTGGT